TGTCAGCTCCGGAGTCCGGACTGCGCAAAAAGCGTAAATGAAGCGCTACGTCACGAACGCAAGAAATCCTACCCACGTGGGGGCGCGCTCATGTGATTGGCTTAGATTGGAGGAGACATCTGATTGGCTATAGATGAGAGAAATTACAAGTACGAATCGGGTGAGAGTCAGGGGAGTCTCAAAAAACCCACACACGAATGCAAAGCGATCCGTGCACAGAAAGCTGTTTGTGTTTGAAGGTGCAGCGGTTTTAAACGGAAAACTAATATGTGTGGATCAAAAATACACATGTAAAACTTTTTTCTGTGTTTGGATTTTATTTACATGTATATGAAACGGAACACATTTGTGTATGCATTGAAAAACACAAGTGTGGATCCGGAAATACAAGTTTGAATCATTTTGCGGATCATGAAATACAAGTGTGAATCCTTCTGTGTGCATGTGTGTATTATGAGACTGTTCTGAGCCCATATATTTCGAACTCAGACTTACTTTTAAGGACATTGCGGCCAGGGGTGTAGAGCTATTTTTTTAATTTGTAAAACCTCCTTCACTTCATGAAATGGCTGCAGCATCAGGAGGCAGCCTCTGAGAAGTGCAGCACCAGCGCGTACAAACCGCCTTCTGTGTTCCCCACTGCAGGCTGCTACGTTTCAACCACACACACCTCTACACACACACACACACACATCGAACGGCCCGATTATTACAGATAAACAGAAGGGCAACCAGGCAACCATGCTCGGTAGGTCTATTACTCGTTGTATGAAGGAAATGTCCGGTCACAAAGGCGCATGATGTGTGTGTGTGTGTGTGTGTGTGTGTGCTCTGCTCAGCTCCGCTATGTGTGTGTATGTTCGGTGTGTTTGTGTGTGTCCAACAACGGCATTTGTTTTCAAATTACCATGAACAGTAATTTACACACATCTGGCCAACTCCATAAGTATGTGGGTGTTCCCAAAATAAATTAGTTTAATCTTAATCTCAATGTAGTGCTAAATGCTGTCGGAGTGCACCGGAACGAACGCCCCGGTATGACGTTATTATGGCTGGCAAACAAGCCCAGGGGTCTCAATGACATTTCAGTTTTAATAATAATAGATTTAATTTGTTAGCGCTTTTACAGGTGCTCAAAGACGCTTTAAATATATAGTGAAGAGAAAATAAAATAAAATAAAGGAACAACAAATAAATATATAGTTAAAGTTAAATAATACAAAAACAATCACAAAGCCAGATTGAAGAGGTTTTTTGAAGGTGGTGAGGTCAGGGCAGTCTCTGATGGGTTGTGGGAGTGAGTTCCAGAGGGAGGGGGCAGCGACGGAGAAGGCTCTGTCCCCCCAGGTCCGGTGATTGGTGCAGGTGGGGATGAAGAGGAGGTTGGCTTCTGATGAGCGGAGGCAGCGGGAAGGGGCGTGGTGATGCAGTAGGTCTGTGAGGTAGGGGGGGGCCTGATTGTTGAGGGCTTTGTAAGTAATCAGGAGGACTTTGAAGTCGATTCTTTGACGGACGGGGAGCCAGTGGAGGTTTTGGAAGACGGGAGTGATGTGGCCTCGGGAGCGGGTGTGGGTGAGGAGGCGGGCAGCAGAGTTCTGGATATGTTGGAGTTTATTGAGGAGGTTGGATGGTATGCCGTAGAGGATGCTATTGCAGTAGTCGAGTCGTGAAGTGATGAATGCATGAATCAGGGTTTCAGCAGCAGAGGAGGAGAGTGATGGGCGGAGACGGGCAATGTTTTTGAGGTGGAAAAAGGCGGTCCTGGTGATGTGATGGTTGAATTTGAGCTGACTGTCGAAGATGACTCCGAGGTTGCGGATGTGGGGGGGGGGGGGGGGGGATAGAGTGTGGCTGTCAATGGTGAAGTTGAAATTCTGGATGTCTTTGATACGGGATGGGGGGCCGATGATGATGATGTCTGATTTGGCACTGTTCAGTTGGAGATAGTTTGTTTGCATCCATGCTTTTATTTCTGAGAGACAGTTGGTGAGAGTGGAGTGTGTTGTGGGGGTGATGGTTTTTGTTGAGATATAAAGTTGGATGTCATCGGCGTAGCAGTGAAATTGAAGGTTGTGGCGGCGAATAATTTGGCCAAGGGGGAGCATGTAGAGGATGAAGAGGAGGGGGCCAAGCACCGAACCCTGGGGGACGCCTTGGGACAGAGGAGCAGTGGAGGAGGTGCAGTTGTTGATGTTGATAAACTGATGTCTGTCGGTGAGGTAGGATTTCAGCCAGGAGAGTGCAGTGTCGGTGATGTTGAGTGATGCTTCGAGGAGGGACAGCAGGATGGTGTGGTTGATGGTGTCGAATGCTGCGGTGAGGTCGAGGAGGATGAGGATGTTCAGGTTGCCAGAGTCAGAGGAGAGGAGGAGGTCGTTTGTGATTTTCAGAAGAGCTGTTTCTGTGCTGTGTTTTGATCGGAAACCGGATTGAAATGACTCAAAGAGGTCATTGGAGCTGAGGTGGGATTTAAGTTGTGAGGCAACGACACGTTCAAGTATTTTTGACAGAAAGGGGAGATTTGAGATGGGCCGGAAGTTGGACATGATGTCAGGTGTGAGTCCAGGTATTTTGAGAATGGGTGTGACAGCAGCCAGTTTGAGTTTGATCTGATCCAGATCTGAGGGAGGAGTTAATGATGGTGGCGATGAGTTGGGAGATGGCAGGGAGGCTCTCTTTAACAAATTTGGAGGGCATTGGGTCAAGTGTGCAGGTGGAGTTAATTCCAGTCATGAAGTCGGACAGTTGCATGGGGGTCACAGGGGAGAAGTGGGACAGGGGCTGTGAGGTGAAGGGGGGGGAGCCAGGAGGGGAGGTGGGGGGTGCTGATGAGGGTGTCAGATTGCTGTAAATGTTGCTGATTTTGGTTCGGAAAAACGAGAGGAAGGAGTTGCACTGTTCGGTGGTGAAGGATGAGGTGGCGTTGTCACAGGGTTTGAGAAGTTTGCTGATGGTGGAGAACAGACGCTTGGGGTTGCTGGAGCCAGACTGAATGAGTTGTGAGTAGTAATTAGACCGAGCTGCTTTGAGTGCATTACTGTACTGTATACCAGGGGGCGGAGTGTATGAAAGAGACATTTTTTGTTTTTGTGGGGGCCAGTTCATTGAGACAGAAGGAGAGGGTGCTGTTATAATAGTCCACAAGTTCAGATGGGTTTTCAGAAAGTGGGGGGGGGAGAAAGATATCTTGCAGGTAATGGAGGCAGTGATTGCTGAAGGTGAGATGGATTTGAGATTTCTGTAGGTTATTGTGCGTTTTTGCTTTTGGGCGGGGATGGGGATGTTGATGTCCATGATGATGGCCAGGTGATCAGAGATGTGGAGATTGAGCCTGGACAGATGATGGATGGTGAGACCAGTGGAGCAGACCAAGTCCAGGATGTGACCACGGCTGTGTGTTGTGAAGTTGATGTGTTGAGAGAAGTTGCAGCAGTGAAGGGTTTCCTTAAATTCAGAGGCATATTTGCAGGTCGGGTCATCAACATGAATGTTAAAATCGCCTAAGAGGAGAACAGATGGGGATATGGCAGAAAGCTGAGTGAGAATGTCGGAGAGAAAGGAGGGGTTTGGCTTCGGGGGACGGTAGATGATGGCTGTGACCAGGGGAGTGGGACCAGAGAGTTTGAAGATCAGGCCCACAGCAAATTTGAAATCTAAAATTCAACACCCATGTAGTTAATTTTAACACTATGAAAGAGTTTATATTGAAACCACCAGCAAAGTGTTAAATTAACACTTTCCAAAGTGTTGACAATATAACACTATCACAGTGTTACTATACCAACACTAAGAGTGTAAGAGTAAGACTACAGTAGTGATACATCTTATCCCATATAACACCTTTAAGAGTTAAACATGTACACTAATAGTGTTGCAATTCAACACTGTTCTGGTGTAGAGTAACACTACAGTAGTGATACATCTTCTCCCATCTAACACCTTTAAGAGTTAGAAATGTACACTGAGCTAGTGTTGAATGCACATTATACTGGTGTTGCATTTTGCATTAGCCTCAAGACCTCTGGGAGTTCAAAACGAACACTAATCTAGTGTCAATGTTGTGTATTGGTATTATGATGTACAACAAACTGGTGTTAAAAGTTATAATGACCAATAAATCATTCCGGATAACATATATGCCAAGTGCTTTATTTGAATGGTGGCATGTCTCTTAAGACTGACAAATGTTCACAATGCACACATTCTTACAATATGCAATTCAACAAATACAAAAATAACCCTCTATGGCAGTGGATGTCCGAAAAGGTTGTTTGTTGCCTGCCGTGCCAGGCAACAAACAACCTTTTGGGACCTCACACACCCATGGGGTGGAGGGATAAATACAAATTACAGCACATAGCTGTCTAAGACAACATACAAAAGGGTGTCATTGGCACTTGCACACATTTGCAGATCAAAAGGCTTATGAAATTGCAGTGCATCAGGTTTGATGACTGAAAGACTATCCTGCTTAACAACATTAAAGGCATGAAGATGCTCAACAAATATACTTTCCATGTATAATACCAATAAATGAATTTCAGCTCTCATCAGAAAAATACAAACAATCTGCCCAAACACTGATATCTCATCCATCAAGTCTAAGCAGACAACAAGACCAGTACGATACTCAATACCTTGACATTTGACCCAAGGTGTGACACTTACTTCACTAGACAGATCAAGCTGTCAACATTTCTGTTTTAACAGGCCCAGACTCTATGCCTTTGATGGCAAGGGATTCCCAGTGATATGCAATAGCTATTTGGCGTTTCTTGGCAAGGGATTTGGTTATGTTCTTAAAGTTTTTTATGCTGGACTTAAAAAACTTGTGTTTAGCTTCATATCTCATAGTCCACACATGTACCAACAGACCAATTTGGCGAATGCATTCAGGATAGTGGATCATAAAGTGATGCTTTGGAATGAGATTCTTTAGAGGATACAGCTCTCTGAATAAACCATGATGCTCTGCTATAAGATGTTTCAAAAATATTGTCATTCCCTCAGTAATGCTGGGCGAAAATAAAATATTGATGATATGCAACAGCAACAACAGTAAATACCAGTGTCTGTTACCTTCTGGGACTACATCACCAAACATGAGCGGAATGTTCCTAATAAGACACAGTGTTTGACTGGCATTGAGCCCAATTCCGTTGCCAGATTGTTCAAGGTTTATCCTTGTAGGACGGTTCTTTTTGTCCAAATAGCCAAAATTGAATGCATAGACTCTTTGGAGAATGCCCTCACGAGAAATGAAATTGGCACCTAAATAGAAAAACAGCAGCTTGACTTCATATTGTGCTACACCTTCTAAGATGTCATGCATTATGTCAAACACAAAGTTATCACATATGTTGAAGTATGACAAGGTATTGAGTATGCTGTTACGTTTGATACCATAACAATGGCCTTCACCTGGGTTCTGAATGAGATGACTGTAATGTTCCTCATTTAACAGTTTTGTGCGCAAAATCACCCGCGGGTCATCCTGAGTGAACACAGTCTGAGCTGATGTTTTGTCAGTGAGACACATCCTACACTAATGGTTTGCACTGAAATATTCCACATATCCAAGAAGGCCATTTAAGCCTAGATTGTCACCTGTAATCTGTGCAATGGTACCATAGATTGGTTGCTCAGCAAACAACACTTTCATTCCCTGTTCCAGTACTTTTATGTCCTCAACCAATGGACTAAGTATTCTGTCAATGCCATACTTTTTCCCATCCTGAGAGTGAAACAATGAAATTAGGTGGATATTCATTAGAGAAGAATTCAGGCGCGGTGGCAAGTTACGAAGAGTGAAACATCCAAGTTTATGAATGCCTTGTTTAGACCCTAATGGGTTTGCTGTTTCAAAATCGTTGTAATAAACTTGAATTTGAAGTGCTTTACTGTACTTTGAATACAAAGGATGTTTTTTATAATACTGTCCATCAGAAAAGTCCTGATACATGTCACTGTGTCTGGTGTCATGAATGTGTTGACATACTTCCTCATTCTTGAAAATAAACTCCAAGGTCTTCAAGATGGGTACATAAATGAAAGTGTCGTTGACTGGTACCTGTTCATATATTCCAGAGATTTTGTTTCTCTTTGAATCGAATCGAACACCCAAGTGCACTTCGACTGGTTCGACAACCCCCCATTTGTCACTGAAATATTTCCTCCATTTACTGTCTGTGTTAAAGTCAGTGAAATAAGTATGTACATTTTTGAAAACTTCCTCAACTGCGATGCGACAGGCATTATCAGGAGGCACTACACTCAAGACTTGTTCCTTCAGATTTGTGTGAACTTCATCAACATACTCTTCCATGCTTTCAACAATGGACAATATAACACTATTGGCAACACCACTGCCCTGTAATTTGGCTATAATAGATGCACACATTTCTTTCGACTGATCTTTAGAGATAGAAGATCCAGACCCACTGGCCTGCTGATTCGGCAAATCTTGATCCATGTCAGAATCACCAACATGTAAAATGTCTTCCCTGAGAATAACAGCTTGTTGGACTGGTGATGAAGGATTATTGCTTGAAACGACCCCATCCTTATCATGGTATTTCTTCAAGTGTTTTTTAAAACCTAAAAAACTTTTGAACTGCAATGAGCAGCCATCCTGAGCGCATATCAAATTAAAATGTTTCCTGGATACAAGCCATGAAATGCAAAAATGTGTACATGCTTTTGAGTGCTGGATCATAGCTAGCAATCAATTGCTGCTAAGGAAGTGGTGGCCTCACAGGGGATGAGCTTCTTGTCGATCAGAATGAAGAAGTTGCCGACGGCCTCCTTGCTGGTCCCTAAAGCAAGAAGATATGGCTGGCTGATGCCCATATGGCTCTGAAGGTGCTCATCCAGACTCCTACAGGACTGAAGGACAAGGCAAGCAACATTTTAATTTTACATAGCTAACTATGCGCATGAGTGTGTAATATTTTAGTGTGTTTTTAGGAATAGTTTATATTTGCACTAGCCTAGTCCTACTTTATCATAGTGACAGCTCTCTGTAGTAGTTCTGGTGGCTAGATCTAACATTCTTAAACCTGCCACATACCTTGTGAAATACGACCAGATGGTCAATGGCCTGAGCTACACTGATCTTCTGGGTTTTCTTCCTTCCCGCAGGCTGGGGTGACAGGAGGTGCAGAAGGAGGAGAATGGATGCCATATCACTGTCCCACTCTTTAAGAAGAGAGAACAATGATCAACTTCTTTTTTTTTTACCCATCTGTATAATGTCCAACAGTTCATAGTGCATGTACAAGCAAAATACAAGACAGGGGTAGACATTAAGGGTAAAATGCCACTGGCCCTCCCGGCCGGTGGAATTGTATTATCACTGGCCCCACCATTGTAACCACTGGCCCGGAGCATTCGTCCCAAAAAAAATCGACTATGAAGAAAATAGTAATTTATGTAACTACATTACAACTTGTACTACAACATTTGAATCATCAGTGCTTCCTTATTTTCCTCAATTGTTCATATTTGGTTTATTAAAATAATGATATTGTGGTCATTGCTAAAAAATGTCTGCTATTATGAGTATTATTATTTTTATAATGCACTTTCTGCCTTTCTGTCATTAGGAGTTAGAAATGTAATGGCCATGTAATAATAGATTAGATTAGAACCTTCATTATCCTAAACTGCTGGGACATTTCCCGATAGCGAATACCTTTTCATATTTTCTACTCTTCACTTACTTGTCAGCATAGGTCGGCATTGATGTACAGAGCCGACAGAAGACCTTGTTTATATTGGCATCATATTGAGAGGTGCAGCCAGTGACGCATCCTAAAACCAGGAAGTAAGCTGCTGGTTCCCTCGACAAAAAAGCAATGGGATATCTCCACAGGGTTTTGGAAAATACCTGGAAATAAGGTCTGTGGAAAACAAACCTGTTTGATAAATGCACGTTTTGTGCAGCCGGATAATCTCCACATGTCTACCCTACTTTTATAATTTTCGAATCATAAATCTAATCGATAGATTATAAAAGGGTTTTAGGACGCGTCACTGCACCACTAGAAGCCAACTCCATCGATCAAGCTGGCTGAAACTTTCTCTCCCTCTTCTTCTCATGCTCCCTGTCACTCTCCTTTAACTCCTTCGGTGTCTTTCTTTTATTTGAAGATTGTGTTTTTGCCCGGCGCTTGGCCGGTTACCGCTGGTATTAAAAACAGTTTTGGCGAATGGTTAGGTGGCGCGATAGTCTGTAGTGAAGGAGCGCGCTCCCGCTCACGGGTGCCTGCTCGCGCTGCGCTCCGCAGCAAACAGCTGTTTGCTTTTCACCCAACAACGACAACCGATTCACGAAACGCTATGTTGTAGCGTTAATAAACAAAACAATTTAATAAAATTGCTAGTCAAAATACCAATACCACAGGACCATTTTTTTTTTTTTAAAGCAATATTTTTAGTGGCCCGAGCGGGCAAGTGGAAAGTACGTTATGCTGGCCCGGGGTGTCTAAATAGTGCTTCCGGGCCAGCAGGCCATTTATAATGTCGAGCCCTGCAAGACATGAAGTCTCACAACACAATAAAGTATGGAAAAAGTGAAGTGGCCTGAATACTTTCCAAACCCACTGTACCCTGGCATTCTCCAACTGTTCTCCAGCCTCACATAGACAATTTACTATAGGCAATATAATAATAATAATAATTCCTTACATTTATTATAGCACTTTTCCAGATGCTCAAACCGCTTTACAAATACACATTTTTTTTTTTTTTTTATACATGCAATGGTCACTGTGGACAATACCCACAGGAGCAAGTTCAGGTGAAGTGTCTTGCCCAAGGACACAACGGCTTTACAGACGCAGCAGCGGTGGGTTTCAACCCTTGATGATCATTGCACAGCGCACTGCGCCACACCGTCCATCTTCACGCCTCAAAGTCATCGAGGCGCTTTTAAATGTACACATTGATATCAGACATGTACTGTGGACATTACCCACAGGAGCAAATCCGGGTGAAGTGTCTTGCCCAAGGACACAACGGCCTGACGGGTTTCGAACTCGAGTTCCCCAGCACCCCCCTTGATCTGATGATCAGATGCACAGACCACTGTGCCACCCATCCCGACAATATGACAATGCAGTTCCTAAAACCATACCTGGTGATTCCAGTGATGGTTCATCAGCCCTTTGGTTCTTGGCAGACAACAACAAGCGCTTCAGCAAGGGTGTGGAAGTCAGCATTTCTGCCTGTTGGATGACCTTTGCTTTGAAGGAGGTTGGCCATTTTTCCAGTAGTTTGGATGGAGTTTCTGACCCAAAGAGGAGACTGAAGTCTTGGAGAATCTAAAACACATATACAGCACAAACGCAAGAACCACCATCAGGTTTTCAATTTACTACTAATGCCAATTTCACAGGTGTAGATCATCTCCATTTAACTGAAGGTTGCTTAAAACGTCTATCAAAATAGATTTACTAATAAATAACATTCATAATAAGCAAAAGTAGGAGTAATAAAATATTACCAATCCTTTAGTGTCCAGCAGGCGCGGGAATACTGAAAGGACAGTGGAGGATCTGTCAGGATCGTGGACAAGGCCCTGTCTATATTCCAGTGTGTCTCTCATCTTCTTCATGATGACTTCTCTGTCGTTTGTATGATTCATCACAGATATGAGCTCTTGAAATCTCTGCTCATCTGGATGATCATCACAGTGGCCTATCTCTCTCCTTAGCATGGGGCCTCCATTCTCTTCTATTCTGGAATCCTTGGACCTCAATGGAAGTCGCGTTGCTCTCTGAACGGACTTCAGTCGCCACGCGAGAAACCCACCGCCTTTCTGCCCGTCATAAAAATGCTCCTGACCGAAAAAAACAATTGGGAGCAATTCGGGGTTCAGTGTCTTGCCTAAGGACACTTTGACATGTGGACAGGAGGAGCCGGGATTCGAACCACCAACCCTGCAGTCATTGGACTATCCGCTACCTCCTGAGCCACAGCCGCCCAAATGAATTAAACTACCCTACAGTATGTATACAACTACAGGAATTCTTAAATGCAGTAGCATGTTATAGAAATCCCACAGCATTCAAGGAACCATGTAAGCCAGGGGTGTCAATCTCAATTTCATCGCGGGCCACATCAGCATTATGGTTGCACTCAAAGGGCAGGTTGTAACTTTAAGACTATATAAAATGATGTATTATATATTACATTATTGCCTCTGCATTGGATTATTATCAGATAGGGTAATAACTTCAGAATTAAATACGTCTGAATGTAAAAGTTTAGGGCAAATAATTGCAAATCTCTTCAATGAGAATGTCACAAAATAATTTTAAAAGAAAAGCCAAATTCTGGAAAAAAAGTCAAAATCAAAAAAAAGAAGTGACATTTAAAAAAAAAAAAGGGGGTGAAATCAAAAAATAAACGTTTAAAAAAAGGCAAACTCTGGGAAAAAAAGTCAAATTTGAGATGCATTATGGGACATGTAGTTTATGGGCAACGTGCTTCTGTAAATCATCATGTAACCGTATAATAAACATATAATTCTTTGCAAGCTCTTTGCTGGGGCCACAGAAAATGAAGTCACAGGCCGGATTTGGCCCCCGAGCTTTGAGTTTGATACCCCTGATGCAAGCCATCTAAAACAGTCTACTTTGATCATAATCAAGAATAACTCACATATCCTGTCTTCCCATGTGGATCTTGGAGCGAGGGAAACAGGGGGTAACAATCCCCAGTGCATACTTCTCTTTGGTCAGTCGCTGAGGGATTCTCCTGTAGAGCAAAAACAGTCATTTTCAACATTTCATTAATTTAAGTCTAAGAGACTCAGTTTAAGAACATATAAACTTAAAGGGGACCTATCATGCAAAATGCACCTTTGTACGTCTTTTATACATGAATATGTGTCCCCGGTGTTCTAGGGAACTCACCAAGTGTCAGAAAACACAACCCTCTCTATTTTCCTCCTTAGCCAAATCTCTAAAAAAGAGGCTGCAACGGATCTGAAAAAAACGGATCCAGATTTCAATACTTTTCTACGTCACAAAGACGTGCTCCGCTTATTGGTCAACTCTCCACCTATCAGGGGAATGAGCCACGGCCACGTGCATTGCCAAACCTCTCATTCGCATATAGGCTATCGGCAGGCTAAATCAACCCCAGTCACATCTGTGTTTTTGCCTGCTCTTGCCAGGATGTCTAAGCCAGTTAAACGTTGTGCTGTTGTTGGCTGCAAGACTCGAGAAAGGGGACTGCATGCAATGCCATCAGTGGAAAAAGAAAATAATCTGTGGCTAGACTTCATTTTCAAGGGACATGTGCCAGAAGACCACGGCAGATTTCTGTTGGTGTGTTCCAAACATTTTACGACGGTCATGTTTATGAACTTCTCTCAAGTCCAACACGGATATGCCTCCAAACTAATGCTAAACCCGGGATCAATACCAACCATCCGGGACCAGGCCAGTGAGGACACATCCAATTTTGAAGCTGTACGTTTTTATTTAGCGGTGTTTTTCCTGATAAAGCTATCTCTAGCTTGTAGTATGTAGCATGTAGCTTCGCCGTATCAATGTCGCCTCAAACCCAAATAGTAATCGGTTAGGTGGTTTATATGTTTTTGTAACATTTTATTTTGTACGCTCCGCAGTCTTTGCTTTGTCTTTTAATTATCAGGCATTTGCTAACATGTTCAGACATACTGCCATAATGGCGATCTGTGTGAAGGCTGTAAAGCCACGCCCTAGCCGATAACACAAGTATTTATTCTCCTATTTATTAGTATTTTGTATCCTCTAAAATCATATTGAGTAAGTTATAATAACAAACGTAATCTTCTGTAGGTAAGTGCCGTTTTTTCCAGCGTTATATGTAAAAGCTTTTGTGATTGTAGTCTGTAAGAACGATCAGATATCATCGATCTGTAAGCTAAGCTACGCTAATGAGACATGCCGTTTTTTGCAGCGTTATATGTAAAAGCTTTTGTGTGTTTACGCACATGAATATAAATGGGGGTGTGTGAGGATACAACACTGTGTGTATGTATGCGAGGGGACACACACACCACGAGTAAAACAGAGCTAAAGCCCCGTTGGTCTGTTGTTGTTGACGAGGCCTTACCTCTAGCAACAGGCTAATTAGTGGCTAGCACTCATTACAGTCAGTCTACTGAGCTCAGCCCCTCTCCAACATATCATCTGTATTGAGTCAGAAACACAGCATGCACGTTACGGTTCAAAACTAACTCAGATTGGAAAAGGCTAAGCAAAGAGCTTTGCTAAATAGAGAGTTTTAAGCCCCATCTTTTGGGATTTCAGACGATATTTATCCAAATAGTATTTTCTCATCCTGAATACTAAATTGAGATGATTTTGTTCTAACTATGTTTTATTCTTTACAGGCCAGCACCTCACATACTTACTAATTAGTGACAATTTGTACATCCTTTGCTATTATTTACATTTGTTTGTATCATGGCGGAAATGAAAGACTGTACCTGGCAGCCCTGCACTACAATGAAAACACTGAGCGTGCACAAGCCACTACATCCACTGGAAACCCTCTGTATAAACTGCAGTTCCCAAAGGCCAGGAAGGGAGAATGCAGAACAAAACCAGTAAAGACTGACCCCACATTCCGTAAGTGTTTAAAATATTTATTATACAACTATTTACAAATATAAAATAAAAAAATTAGAAAGAACTTTCAGTTTTTTTACATGCATATACTAATCTAAACCACATTTTTTGTTGTGCTTTTTTTAACATTGCACAGGCTACGTGGCCAACTTGATGGACCTCATCTTCGACCAAGTCTTTGTGGACACTGCACCATTATGAGCGACCTGACAGGGAGGAGGTCATCGCCGGGTATGCTACACGGTTCAATTTGGCTGCTGTCTGAACCCAACATCGACATTTTGCGGATCAGGAAACTCCCTGCGAATCCTGAGGACAACGCAGGCCGGAATCACCACTCTGATCCTGCGTCCAAGGAAGCCCCAGCACCAGCTCACAAAGCTTCTGTAGGCTAGATACCTGTGACGCCTGAAATCATAAAAACAAATATTTAGTGTCATTTATACAAAATACAAGTACATTTAGTTTTTTTTTATGGGTTCAAAGAACCGTTGATTTTGACAATAAAGTTCCGAGTTGATATCAAATGTGTCGTGATTATTCATGTTTGGATGGGTAAAGAATATTCTGATTTCAAAAGCATAAGGTTGTGTGTGGACTTTTTTTGTCGTACACATGGGTGTGTTATGCCATTGCTGTGTAGTATATAATATAATATAATAGTACATGTACAATGACAGAATGAAAGATTGCATAAAGCCATATACACCAGTATTTATTTCCATGAACAATATTGGCATTCGTTTTACAATTTCAGTCAAAACAAACAAACCACTCACTGCTCTATTTGCCTCAACTGTAGTCCACCATGTTCAGCTCTGTAAATATTCAATGCATTCTGCAGGGAGAAAACATTCAGGCACACAGGCTCCAATCCAGGATGCTCCACCATACAAGTTACAGAGTCCTCAAGTTCCTGCATCCGTCTTGACACCTAGTGTGATAAACATATTGAATGACATGTTAAAAATGTATTCTCTAAACAGACAACTTAGTGAAGCTATCAAAAATGTTACCTGTGGTATCTCCATGCAGCACACATACTCCGGTTCAGAAGGCATCGTGGCGCAATTTGCACATGTACACCTGTAGAAAGAAGTCAATAACTGAGCTTTTAAAAACACATGAAACTACACACACTGCTGACAACTGAGGTGTTGTTGGAGTTATACTTTTTATCACCCTAAGTTATTGAACTTTCCAACGGTTGTTGCACGATGTTGGAAGAAAAGGACTGTAAACTATTAATAAACGCAATGAGGCCATTGTATATATGCTGAAAATATGAATGTCTCCCTTTATAAATATATATATATGTATTGCTGTTTTTGCATTACAAGCTCTAAGTTATAAACTGTACACATAGCATTCTTGCTAAATAGCCAAAATATGAACGGAATAAGTAGCAATCATCGTAACAGAGTAAAATAAATAGGAACAACAGCTTGTCAACTAACCATTCAGAAACGTCCTGCTGCAACCGAGATGTTTGCACCTCCACCAAAACCTCCGCTGCTTCAGGGTCAGTCACTGGATCAAATTGATAATATGCTTGAACACATGCATTGCTCTGAGATGACATGTTTATTCCACACTCGTAATCACAGCAATGTTAACGTGACTCTCGCCGGCTCATGCCCCGCTCTTCTGCAGGGAGGCGTGGTCAGCTGCTGCTCAGAATTTTCAAGTCGATTAAAATATTTATTAAAATATTTAATCGCGATTAATCGCATGATTGTCCATAGTTAATCGCGATTAATCGCACATTTTTTATCTGTTCTAAATGTACCTTAGAGGAATATTTTTCAAGTTTTTAATACTCTTATCAACATATGAGTGGACAAATATGCTTTATGCTAATGTTTATTATCATTTGAATAATGACAAATATTCTCATGAATATTAAACACAACAACCTGGAACATTACAAATATTCGCCTCAATTCAACCTGGAACCTCTCATACAATAATACAATACAAATTGTGTGTGTGTGTGTGTGTGTGTGTGTGTGTGTGTGTGTGTGTGTGTGTGTGTGTGTGTGTGTGTGTGTGTGTGTGTGTGTGTGTGTGTGTGTGTGTGTGTGTGTGTGTGTGTGTGTGTGTGTGATGGATCGTTGGAGCTATGTGCAACTCAAGGCATATGCTCGAACGGGAGCTGCAATCATGTTGCGCACTATCCGTGCTGAGTGTGCTGACTTTTCGTACAATGTCCCACTGTCTGGCTACCTGCATAAAGTCAAGTGCTCGGCGCAGTTGTGACGAAATGTCGCTCCTCTGTTTTCATTTAAACAGCTAGCGCATTTAAACCGTTAGCGCAGCTAGCTAGCACCAGATGCTAACAACAACAATGCACGTAAGGTCTCTCGCTCGGGCCACACATACACACACCCTCCCGGTCCTCCCAACAGCCAGTCGGTGCCTGCCGGTGAGCGTGGAAGTGTGGTCTGCCACAAGCGGGCGGCAGGAGCGGGGCTGTCAGCATCAGCTTGTAGACGGTATTTTAAACTCGATGCGCTCTGAAACTACGGGGCGGCCGAGGAAAAAAAATACACATGCGTTAATCGCGTTAAAATAATTAGTGGCGTTAATTTTTTTTTGCGTTAACGCGTTAACTTGACAGCCCTAATAAATATACAGGTATGGTCATACACTATATCATTTAAATATAGCATGATAGGTCTCCTTTAATGAACTCAATTAATGTAGAAATACAATTGCACCAACTTCATCCACACTTAACCTATACATTAGGGATGTGCATCTCCATCACTGAGGCCGATGCGATGTGCATCTCGATACGTTGCCACGATACGATACATTAACGATACATTTGAAACACCAGGCGATGCGATATGATTCACCCCTGTTGCGATACAGTTCGATACGATTTGATTCAACATTATGCGATTCAACACGATGCAAAAATAATGATACTTCAATATGGTACGACAGAGGATTTTTGTTTTACAGATGTAGCACTCCATTTCAGACGCCAACCCGTGCGGGTCCGTGATCGGCACTGGGTGGGCCCCTGCTGAAAAGGAAAACCCCCCCCGCAGGATTTGAAACGCCCCCTTGATAAATACATTTAA